GAAGGTAATATGTCTACGAGTCATATTAAACTGGATGTCATCACTCCATTTCATATCTGAGCAACAGTTGTAATAGTATGGGAAATATGAAATATAAATACATATTAATATACGTATTGATTTCCTAGTATTCCCATATAAAAACAGACGTACATTAACGGAATGTTGATCCTACGAAAAGATTTAGTAATTTTTGACGATTAAAAATATTGACAACAGCTAAGATGACAGTCTTTCTTATAATCTGCACAACTCTCTCTCTCTCTTTCTCCCCGCAGAACTGTGGCAGACTATTTAAATTTATGTTCGAATCATATAAATTAAAGTATAGAAGTGAATAAAAAGTATTTAATTAGGTAGTAGATAAAAAGCAAAGTAGAATAAAAGTTAATTTAATGATTGTTCAGTTGTTTTTTTATTTATGCACTGAATACGTGTGATAAAAGCTATGAATAATCGAATAAAATGAATACCATATATCCAAAATGATATTCCTTCTTTTGGAATATTGCATCACAGGTCGATATGGAACTATGCTCAGGCTAGTCAATCACAACTCGAGTAAAATACCTTCGTTATTCTTTGAGTAAGAGAAAATCTGGAGGGACTAGGTATATATCTCAGACCCACTTGTCATTGACGGTAAATTGCCGCTTACAATACTCGTTAGAGCTCTAAATATCGCAAAGAAGATGACATCAACAGAATTTTTAACAACGGGAGAATTTATTGTAACTAAAACAACATAATATTAAATAATGGTAGAAATATATATTCTTTTCCTATCGCCATAAAACTGCAATAATCCGTCTTCTCTGGTATTGCCGGAGAGAAAATAATATTAACAACTAAATTAACGAATAGAGAACCTCGGTTAATCGAATCTAAATATACCGTAAAGTAAAGCTGACTAGAAACAGGATATGACTAAAAAAATGAGGAAGATCATAGATTATAACCTATAAATAGATATTTAAATCAAAATTTGACTTTAATGTTATTATTCCCAGAGTTCAAAGATTATTGATTTTTTTTAATAACATGGATATAACAAAAATATTATTAGAGTACCTCAGTGACAAGAAAGTACAGGCTGAACTGGACCAGAAAATTGAAAATTAATGAAGATATAAATTTCGGTTGGATATAATATGAAGTACTCATAAAATAGATAAAATAGGGTAAATTATGTAATTATGTAAATTATTATTTGCATGGAATCTGTAGAATTTGTTAAATGAAATGTGAAGATCAAAATATTCTGATATGAATTTTTAGATAGATTTCATGTTTTTAAAAGAATTGTAAATCAGACTTTGAAAAGGGATGATCGCCGTTCTTTTTGACTAAAGAAAAAGGGACAGAAGGCATGAATGGGAGTCGAAAATATGAGTAATTTCCCACAACGTAGATCCTTTATTGTTCTAATAAATCTATAATATTAATCTATAATAATATAAATTTATAATATCTATAATACAAATATAACTTAAAAAGCAATTATAATATTATGTATAATTGATCGTTATTAAGCATCACAAGCTTCAGTCAATGAAAACTGTTAACGTAAAGACTTTGATTTACTAAAATCAAAGTCTAGTAAATCAAAGAAACGAATCAAGAATTTGATTAAAAAAGAAAATTAAACAAAAGGTAATTTATTTTTTGTTTAAATTATAATAAAAAAAACTGATCAAAAGTGCTATTAGATACAACTGAAAAGAGAAAAACGAAAGTAATATTTAAGTGCAATGACTCCTATTCATGGTTTTATTACTACTTGAACCTATTTTTGTCGCATTGATCAAAAAAAATTACAAAGAAATTCCGTTTTAATTCGAAGAATTAATTGCACTAATAACAAATAAATATATCTTCCGACATGAAGTTCTATGACGTCAGCTGGGAAATATGTACGAGTAATTTGACTAGTATTAATAATGAGTATTAGTCACATAACACATTAGTCAATAGAAATTGCAATTTCTACTAACTGAAAATTATTTGTTTACACTAACAACATTTTTTTATCAAAAATAAACATTTTCAATTAACATTAAGGCAAAGATAAGATAAGTTTGCGTACAAAAGTATTAGTATCTATCAATAAAAAATGGAATAAACAGATTTCTACATACGCCTAATGATAACACACATTTTTAGTTGAGACTTTTGCAAACTTTTTTACATAAAAACTTAAATAAAATTTAATAAAAACTCTTCAATTGAAGCAATTGTTTAATTTTGGTTAGAGTGCGATATTATATAACATAGTATCTGTAAACTAACTGCCTTTCGCAACCACGGAAGTATCCAGAATTAAACTTAGTTACTCACCACAAAAAGTATGTTGAATATGAAAAGCACGTATTTAACGAATACCCCACCGCAGTCCATTTTTACTGTTTATAAAAATTTTATTTTGGATCAAACAAAAATAATTTTTTTATTTCGGCAAATTAATTTTTAAAAAATTTACTTAAATTTGAGATACTTTTATTAAAACCTTTATTGGAAATTTTCCTGTCGATACACAAACCTACTTTTTCAAGGTTCAATTATTACTGAACTGAATACCTGAAATTGATGTATTGAACTCATTTTTTAGTTACTTTCCTTATCAATTTTATCTTTATGAGAACGAAAAAAACTTTAAAAAAGCTCTTATACACAGAGGAGTAGGGCAAATTTTTTTTCATTTATAAAAATGATCATTAATATATTTTGTCCAAAATCTATTTATTTTTTTTTCCTATACTGCGGCTTTTAAGAAGTAACTCTATTTATGATATGATTTTAGAAATATTAATCTTTAAAATGATCAGATACAATTATACACGGATGGAACCAATACTTTTCTTTTTATAAAGAATATAATAATATTATGAAAAATACTTCAATAACAAATAAGTATAATGAATAAACAATTTTTTGTTTTTATAGTAGTTCTGGATTCAAGGTTTGCTGGGGTCTGGATTAACTTTGCTTATTCAGAAAAACCCATATGGGAACTCCTTAAATGCGCAGAAATTACTGATATAAATTACATAGCAAGTTTGTTTATTCAACAGCAGCGTAGTCACAGATTAACCTATCCTATCCTAACCTAACCTATAATTTATTTTATCACTTTTCAGTAAAGAGTAAATAAAATTCTTCAATAAAAAAGCAGTTCGTTAATGATATTAGAATCATCTACAATCTATTGAAAAAACTTTACCTCATGATATTCAAAATTAAAACAAAGTAGTGTTGTTAAAGTAACCATCAACATCACAAACAGAACTGATCTGGCGAACTACAAAACCTCCTTCTAAATAGCATATAAGCTTTGCAAAAGGTTTAAGTATACTACCTTTAGGTTTTTATTTGTACGGTACACAGAGTAACGAGAACTTTAAATTTAAAATAAGTTAATAATATTAAATTTGTTTCTTAACAAGCTTGATATTTACATACATTCATACTTTTGCATTCACTCATTCAACAGAAACAACAGTTATATCGAAAAAAAAAAAAATAATAATATGTAATATACAAAATTAGAAGAAATTTTATCGATGGAAGTTTTTTTAAAAACTTTTAATATTAATATTTTATTGATTATGTATTTAGTGAGCTCCCTTAGAGCTAATGTAAACTTCATGACTTTTACTAATAGCTAAATGTAATCACGTTAAATTTATAAAAATATTTGTAAAGAAGTAAGGAAGACGTCAGGGATCATAGAAACGATAATACATATGTTCGTAATTAACACGGTAAATTGAAATTATCTATATAAATCAGTCTGTATTGAGAACTGACAAAATAATGAAATATTTGACTTATAGTACAGTTTCCTTATAAAATAAATGCTGCAAGGGCATTAGTCTATATATAGCTAAAATATATTTAATACATAAATAATTTATATGCAATAAAACTGTTTATATAAAGAATATTCAGTATCTATCTTGTCAGTATATATATTTTACTACTTTTATTAAAAAAATAAATTCATATATTAAAACTCCAAGAAAATAAAAAAACATGCCTGCATATATTTAGATAACTGGTGAACTTTCAACACCTCATAATAAATATGTTTATTATCTTTTTTTATCATATCTAGTTTATGTCTAATATGGCAATTAAAAATAAATTTCAGTTCTTCAAATATTTTTATTAGATGCAAACTCGTACATATGTACGCTAAATTATTTACTTTTTGTTTATAAGGCCTACATTGATTATCGTTGTATCTTATTAGTTAGCCTATTAAAAATACATGTACTAAGACTCAAACTTAGTACATGCTACACAGTACATGCTTATTATTCTTACTGACAGCAGGAAACCATAGCAATAAGTCGGTAGACTATTCTGACCAAACGCAGAAGTAGGAGAACTAGACAGAAGAATAGACAGAGGAATCGTTATTCTCAATGGAATCGTTAAGTATACAGCAGTTTTGGGGTTAGAGAAAATTATTCAAAAATATGTATTAAAAAATTTTATAATAAATATTGAGTCTTATGCACTGGATTGGTACGTCATGTAACTTAATCGAAATTATAGGAGAATATATAAAATAAAAGCATTTGAGGAACGTGATGTTTTGAAATTTTTAGAGTAAATATTTAAAATTTTTTTTATTTAAATAAATAAAACAGATATTAGTTTAAACCATAATCTTGATATTATTTATTAATTCATTTCTTGCCATAAAAGAAGAGATGTGTTGTAACATAATATATAAATATTTGATTTTAAACAACCCCGGCAAACATTTTATATTCTAACAATGATTAAAAAACTATTAAGCTTTATTACTTAACATGATTGCATTAAGAAATTTAAAAATTTCTATCGAAACTTAAGGTCATTCATATTTACATTATGCTAACCTATAGATAAGGTCTATGTTAACCTATTAGTTGCTCTTATTTAATGCTATAATTTATAGTAATTAAAAAGTCTGATTATTTTGTCAATATGAGTAAATGATATATTTTTGTATGGTATATTTATAAGGACGGCCAGCTTAAAAACTATAACAGGTAATTATGTATTAATTAGTTACTAAATACAAATCATCGCTGAAGGTTTTTCTTAAATTATTAACCAATAAAACAGAATAAAGTAACGCGAAAAACTCTACTAACATAATAGAAATGCTGCCATATTTAGTTATTTCGAAATTTCCACTCCAGAAATTTAAAAAACTATCTTCACAGCCTATTTTATATTGATAGACGCTTAATGGACATGCGACATTTGTATCATGACCACAACAGGAAGGTGGCACAACCATATTATTAGACTCATAATCGGTATAACCTTCTAGTCCACAGCAATCGAACTAAAAAAAATCGAAATATTTAATTAATAAAAATTAATAGAAATTAAATGAGATATATTGAGTACTTACATTGATTTGAGTCGCATTCATCGGATATCCATTTCCTAAAGTATTATCTTTCCAGGTTTGTGTTAACAGCGCTGATATAGCATTTAGGTATGATGTTTTGCTACTGCAACTCCAAGCAAGCAAAGCAATTTGTAAACAAAATAATATAAACATAAAAACTATATACTAGAAAAAAATTAAATTATTATTAAAATTAAAACAATTATTAAAAAAACAATTTAGCTATATTTACGAGTATTGTGAACAGGACATTATCTCTGGTGTAACAACCAAAAACTGCAACTATAACCATTAAACAACCTAACACTACAATTAAAGCGGGTAGTGTTCTTGTGTGTACCGAACCATCTGGAGAATATGTATCCACTAAATCACCCAATATAATGGATCCAAATATAATTTGCAGAAAACCACTTATCTAATTAAAGACAGTAAAAAAAATAATCGATTATAAATTAATATTACAATGTATTCAATGATATAGA